AAGGACATTATATAGTTATCCTTGTGTAATATTATGAAATACTGCTATGGTAAATTTAAAGTAACAAAACGTGTCATTTGTGTTAATAGATTTAAATTTAGATAGGAGCAGCAGGAAGTTCCAAAGTTTAAGAAAAGATTATAAGAGGGAAAACTGAAAACTGAGCAAATTCTTTTTTCTTTTTCTTTTGTGGGGGCAGGGGCAGTACTGGGGTTTGAACTCAGGGCCTCATGCTTGCTAGGCAAGTGTTCCACCACTTGAACCACTCTGGCAGCCCTTTTTTGTGTTGTGTATGTTTGAGATTGGGTCTCTAGAGCTATTTGCCCTAGCTGGCCTCTTGCCAGTATTCTCCTGATCTCTGCCTCCTGAGTAGCTACAATTATAGGTGTGAGCCTATAATTTGTCCAGCCGGCAAATTCTTATTAAGCTAAATTTTCAGTGACTGAGTCAAAGAATACTAATATTCATGTGTTTGGGTGGTACTTCTATCTTTTTCTAATTAGAACATTAAACTATTTCTCTAAAAGACAGTGAAAGAAGCTAAGAAATCCTTAATATGGACCTTATGGTATGACTTAAAAACATGTTATCTCTTGTACTCTTATAGCATATTTTCTATCTACAAACAGTACTTCATTTTCAGTCTGACTTTATATTCCCACTTTTGTTTTTTCATGGTTCTGTAAATAATGATAATTATATAGTAAGGCAAGAATATTACTCAGCTTTCTCTACTGGATCTCTGAGAGATACCAGTCTACCCTCTATGCCTCCCCAACAGAAATACTCACCAAAGTTCAAAGGATGGGCCTTAATATCACCATGAACTTAAGGTCAGATTCTGGCTATGATACTTTGTGATCTTGGATATGTAATGATTTCTGAATCTCAGTTTCTCCTTATGTAAAAGAGGGGAGATGATTCTTCCAGGGATGTTGCTGGAATTACATGATAATGTATATAAAGAATTTAGGGTTCTGCTTTGGCAAACAGATGGTAGCCATTGCTGTTAACAGTTATAAAACTTACAATTACTACTTCCTAAACAAAGAGTCTAAAAGTCTGTAGAACTAGTCTAGAGGCTGTAGATGATTGGAATTCTTGCCTGTTTTTAAGGAAAAACTTAGTGGCACAGTGGGGGAGCAAGCCAGAGTGAATGAGTGGAAGCTGATTGTGATTGTTTGATTAGTATCTGTCTCTTCCAGTAGATTTCCATAAGGGCAGGACTGTTTTCCTTGCCTTTTTAGCCCTAGCTTCCAGGAGTGGTGCTAAGCATATAGTTTGTACTCAAATACATGGTGAATAGGACTTGGGTGTCTGTCTGTTTCTCTCTGTCTCTCTTCCCCACCTCTTTCATAGCTCCCTCTCTTCCTTCCCCTGTTTCTCACACACAGTGTTCTAAAAATAAATACTAAATATGTCATTTAACCCATTCATCAGTACATAATCCAATTTTGGATGCTCCTGTTGCTGAGCTACTTGTGGTGTTGCCACTAGGAGACTGTAAACTGAAGGCAGTTTGGCCATGCTAGTGGGATGGTAATGTTGAGGCCAGAAACATCAGTCCCATTAAGTGAGGATTTGTGAGCTCTGGGTCTTGTGCCAGTGTGACTCTTTAGAAACATACTCAGTTTCCCTATCCTTGCCTTTCTTTTCTTGAGGATTCTGGGCCAGGTCTTATGCTGTTTTCTCTCCTGCCATCACTGACCCCCATGGCCAGTTTCTGTTGCTTCCTCTTCTTACTTCTTTCATTTCATCTCTGAAGTGTGAGCCCTTTAAAACCTTTTGCTGTTAGTGTCCATGAGAAAGCATAAACAAGGACTGCAAAAGAGCCCTTTGTTACTTTTTTACTGAAATTTCAAGGGCTATATAAAGCACCCTGCTTTCTGTTCTTGGGTCTTAGAGGAAAACTAGAGGTCTGCTTCCTTTCTCATTGGAGCCATGTAAGTATAGTTTCTGTTCATTGTTAGGACTCTGTGGTTATACTCCTTGGGTTTAATTTCTAGCTCAACTTCTTCTTAATAGTGTGACCATGACACATTATTTACACTTTCTGTATCTCATTTTCTTTATCTGTAAAGTGGGATTAAAATAGTACAGTAGTTCCCTTTCATCTTCACCTGGTGGGTGCCTAAAACCATTGCTAGTACCGAATTCTCTAGATGTTGTTTTTTCCTACACATTCACACCTGTGATAAAGTGTAGTTTATAAATTAGGCTCAGTAAGAGATTAACAACAATAATAAAGAGGTAAAGCAGTTGTAACAGTATACTGATTTAAAATTACCAGCATCACTACTCTTGTGATTTGAAGCTATTATTAAGTAAAATAGCAGTTGCTTGATCATAAGCACTGGGATATGATGACAGTTGAGCCGATTCTGATGACCAAGATGGCTACTGAGTGATTAATGGGTCATTGATATACTGGACAGAGGAATGATTCATATCCCTGCCTGGATGGAATAGGATGGCACCAGATTTCATCATGTTACTCAGAGCAACACACAATTTAAAGCTTAAAAATTATCCTGAAATCTTCCATTTTATATTTTCAAATCACAGTTCATCCTAGGTAACTGAAACAGCAGTTACCTGCTGAGGGAGGGGTCTGTCTTCTTCACAAGGTTGTTTTTAGATGAATGAGATTACCTTTCTCCTTTCTTCCTCTGTCCCTTCTTTTCTTCTTTCCTGTGTGTGTGTGTGTGTGTGTGTGAGTATCCATCTAAAGTAATGCCTTACAAAGCTAAGTATTAACCCAGTAAATGTTAACTATTATCATTAAGTGCCTATCCCATTTGTATGTGGTAGGAATTTAGACTGAATAAAATAAAGTCTCTGGTGCCAGAGAACTAATAAAGAAAAGGAAAGGAGCAAATGGAGACTTGTAGTCCATTATGCAAAGTTGAATAACAGAAATAGACATAATGCGTCTTGTGAGGTGGGACAGAGACATCAGTTGTACTCAGGCTTGTGGGAGAAAGTCAGGAGAGGCTGATGAAAGAACAGGAACTGAAGCAGATTGTTGAAGGATAGTTCGGGTTTCTGAAAGTTAGGTGTTTCAGGTGTGTGGGAGGGGTAACTTTGAGGGGAAAAGACACATTTTGGTTTTGACTTCCAACCTGTTCAGTCACTGGGTCCTAGAAATTTTCTTTTTAAAAATATTTTCTGAGATCTGGAGAAGATAACTTGCTATTTGGAAACCCTTGCCAAGTCGATTTCAAGAAGGAATTTTCATTTATTTGTTTCTGAGATAGTCATACTATGTTGCTCAGGTTGGCCTTGAATTTTTGGGCTCAAGTAATCCTCCAGCTGCTTAGCTGAGTCCTGCTGAGTAACCAGGACTACAGATATACACACCAAGACACCCATGCTTTCGAAGGAATTTCTACGTTTGGTTTTAGTAAACTAAAGTGAATGCCATCCTGTCTTTTAATATATTGACTTCATGATTTTATTGTTTGTAATATTGACTAGGTGGTCAGTATTAAGTTTTAGATTATACTTTGTATTTGTGTAATCTGTATTTGATAAATGGAATATCATTCCTTACTACATTAGCATTTGTAATTGTACTTTTTAGTAAAGTAAGTGTATGTGACTATCAAGGTGTCTTTGCCATCATTTGCTTTAGAAACAATTTTTGTTTGCAGAATAACTAGCACTAATTTTCATAATTATGCCTGTGATGATTTTCAAAGTTAATGAAAGGAAGAATGATTCAGAAATTGCCTAGGTAATACAGAGATAATTTGCATATGTACCAGTATCACATGGGTGGTAGTGCTTACTAATAGGCCATACTGCAAGGGTTATAGTCAGTAAGTGTTATGATGAGAAACCTTATAAAAACACACTCATCTTGTTCAATCAGGGAAAATGGTGGAAATAAAGAATTTACAGGTGTAAGAACAAAAGTATTTACTTAAAGATATAGTTAGCAGTTCACAGTATCTTATTACTAAAGCCTTTAAAAATATGTTAAAGATGAACACAATTCTTTAGTGGAAATATTTTCGATTTTATTTAGAGAACTGTAGAGGGTGCTATATCATTAGGAATAGTCTGAACTGGCGTTAGCTAATTATAGGAATTCACTTAAGGCACTACTGTCCTTAACTACTATCACAGTACTTGATTTCTTTTTGGTGTGTACTTTTTAAAAACCTACATTGGCTGCAATCAAAGCGACTAATGTTGCATAATTGATACAATTCATAATGTAAATTGAGCTAATGCACTGAGTTGCAAAATATTTTTCATCTAATGGTGAGAATAATAAAGGTTTATTCTTCTCCCATCTACCCAAAATTGTTTCTAAAACTGACCATCTAGGTAGATGGTACAAGAATCTACCTTTATTATTCCCAAATTGAGGCTATACAGTCTCTTCCCCTTCTCTTCAGATAGTTTTTGTTTTGTTTTTTTGGCGGCACTGGGGTATGAACTCAGGGCCTGCGTTTGTGCTCTTATGAGCCACTCCACCAGCTTTTTTTTTTTTTTTTTGTTCCATGATGAGGTTTTTCGAGATAGGGTCTTGCAAACTAATTACCTGGGGCTGGCTTGGAACCTCAGTCCTCCTGATCTCTGCCTTCTGAGTAGGTAGGACTACAGGCGTGAGCCACTGGCTCTTGGCTTGCTCCTTTATCTTAAAGGATTTCTTTTAGAAATTGTTTTTTGGTAACTTGTATTCAATTTCATCAGTACTGAAGAATTTGGACATTATTTGAAATATGTCAAGTTAGATCTACTGGCACATTTTGGAATAAAAAGCAATGTTAAGTCACCTATATTTTAAAAAATACCAAAAAATATTATAAGTAAGTATCTACTTTTCTAAAATATAGACAACTCTAAAGAAGTTTTATACTATCATTCTTTAAAAAATTTGTTACTATATTCTCTCCCTCTCCTCAAAAAAAAAAAATCATTTTCTTCTCTTGAAAGAATTGCTGTGTTCAAGCCATTAAATTACTCTGTTTTTGTTTTTAACTCTTAAGGCACCACCTTCCATGGTCAATAATGAACAACGCCAGCATGCAGAGCACATATTCTTATCATTTAGGAAATCAAAATCACCATTTGCAGTTTGCAAGCATATTTTGGGTAAGTGTTAAAAATATTTTGGTATAATCAGGTCTGAGTTTTGTATCTTGAACATTAGCTGTTTTACATTCCTTTTAAAATAAGCAAATTTGTGCAGTTAGTAATTTTCCATTAACAGTTATCCTACTACAGTGACTTTAAAGGTATTCTGTGAAACCAGAAAGGAAACTTTTTTTCAACTTTGCATTTTTTTCCCCCTTGAAACAGTGTCCAGTAATTTATTTTGTTATTGATCATAACATGAAGGCTGTTAATGATGAGGGAAAACATCTTAATTTTTTTCACTTGTTTTCAAATGTATCATTTGTTACAGAAAATGTACTACAATATCTCGTATCCTAATTTTACTTTCAAAATTAAGATCAGTTTTGGAGGGTTCTTACATTTTCTTTCTTTTAGTTTTTTTTTTTTTATAGTTTTTTTAAACTACTTTGTATGAGCATAAAATATTTGCTTAGCAAATATTCTGAGTGAGCTTATCACTATATATAGAAAATAAAGCACTGGTTTCTATATTATATAAGTTCCCTATATCTGGCATATGTATAGAAATTATCTTTTCTAAACAATCATAAGAATTTTCCAAACATGGCATTTTCTAAGAGTCACATATGACATTGCCATTTGCCTCCTAGATACTTTTTAATAATTGTAAAGGAGATTTCATTTGTTACTATTGCTTTATAACCTGATTACTGTTGGTTGTTTTTCTTAGTTGACCCATCTTTTATGTAACCCGTATTTAAGATTCTGAAAGGCTGTTTAAGTCATTCATGACCATAGAATTGGTAGTTGAGTATTAGAAATTAAACATCTGACCTTTTATTCTTGTGCTTTTAATAGGGCTTATCTTAACCAGTATTCTGGTTTCCAGATTGATATAGACTACAGTTATGGTTATGTGTTAAAATGCTTTGCATATTAGCTGCTTATAAATGAGAGTTGCTAGTCTGTAGTGTAGAGAGTGCTGGTATTGGAAGCATGAGATCTGGCTGCCAGTGGTGCCTGTTGTACATTCTCAACTTTGAGGAAGTCAGCCTTCCTTTGCCTCTTTTTTATCTGCATTATGGAGATTATACCATTTTTCTTAATAGATATGGTTATTTTAAGTTATTGTGAAGTATAGTGTAATGCCATGTGTAAAAGTACTTTGTGAACAGTAAGGTAAATCTCATGGCCATGTTACCTTAGTTACAATTGCTTTTTAAAAATAAGACCAGGTTAAACAATGGTACATTTTCTGTTTGCAGGAGCTAGCAGTGGTGAAGGTGGCTCGTCTCATTCAGGGTTCTATTTTACTGTTAGAGCAACAGTTTTAACAGCTACCTTTTCAATCCTAAATGAGACCATTTTAGTTAACTTTCTTGCAAGTGGTCAGGTTTTTTTTATACTTAGATGGGTTTGTTTCTGTTGCTAAGAAAATTTGTTATCTTATGCTTTTGTAGAATATTTAATTCAACGTTAAATTAAAAAGCAAAACTAAAACATCAGCATGTAAAGGATTTAAGGAAGTGTTACCTCATCCTTACTGCTTTGAGATTATTCAGCACAAAACCATTGTATTAAACTATTAACCTAAAATAATTTGAGTCTGGTTTTTATGTCAAATGCCTCACTTATACTGACTAGGATTCAGTCAGCATTTCATCTGACTTTATATTGTAATCAGCTGTCACTCTGGACTGGTTGGAAATAGCTGGTCTGAATTACAAGTATTTTCTATTAGAGCATGTTGATTTATACCACTCTTTCCTTTCTGAGTATGTACATTTTATATTGCTTTTTTTTTTATGATTTGAGCTTGTTTTGGATTACTTTTGTAAAATTATCTTGAGTAGTAGGATTGCTAGTTCCAGTTGTGCTTTGAAAATCAGTTTGGTTTTGAGATACTAGCTATTTAAAAGACAGTGCATGTATGACAAGCATAATCATTAATGTACTGCAAAGCCTTGTGTTACATTAATGTTTACATCTAAACTTCACCAAAAATCTTTTTTAATTCCTTACCCAGTTGCCACCAGCACAGAAGGGTAAATTCCTCTAAGAAGACTTCTCATACAAGTGGCAGTCAATCACAATTCAGAATTTTCACATTCTTATTTAGGGATTATATGTCATTTTTATAGAATGTCTGGGAAATAATTCTGATAAAAGGGAGACTTTCTCTTTGATGCTTCCCTTTTCTGGCCTCTTAAAATTCTTCCTTCTCATTTTTTACTTCCTTTATATATGTTTCTCATTTTTCCCTAATTTCTTTCTGTTCTTTTGTTTTCATTCTAGTTTTTTTCTTTTGCTTTTTTCTGTGTGTGTGTGTGTGTGTGTGCATGTATGTGTCTGTTTGTTGAGTGCATGTTGCATGCTTGTGTATTTTGTCAGAAGAGCATTTTCAAACTAATTCACTGCAGATGTCTTTTGCACTTAGGAATTTTCAAGTTTTTTAGGGTTAAGTGTTTTGTCAAAAAAACTTGAGTTCTGTTCTTGCTAAAGAACTAACCAAGAGCTGTGTGAGGTTGTCTTACCTCTTCTGGAGCTAACTTGGTACTGTTCTTTTGCCCTCTCAGGAAGAAAAGGATTTCATCACTTCTTGTCTCAGAAATAGCCAACACAAAATGAAATAGACAAGCAAAAAGTCAGACTAGTGAACTTTTACTTCTCTGTGTTCAGAAAGTTGTTTCTTTTGTAGTGTTACCAATTTTATCCTCTTTCATCTGAGACATTGTATTATTGGTTAGTGGTCATAGATACCATTAAACCCAAAGAACACCCTTTTTGGAGCTTACATTTCCTGCCTGTGCTAAGGACAGAAGTCTTTACGGCCAGAGGAGTGATGATGGTAGCTGAGCATCTGTGGCTTGTTTTTCTTTTCATAAAAACTTTTTTGTCAGAATATAGTGCTTTTCCTCTTTTAATATTATTACTTCTCTTCAGCTGTTGTTCACGTGGCTCTAGCTAGTTTCAGATGTCTGACAATATAAAAATGAATTCTATTTTACAGTTATTTCTAAAGAAAGTTAACTATGGTAGCAAGTGAAGGCTTTCTGCTAAAGTATCCTCAAATAACACATCATCTTGACAGTGTCCCAGTGAGTGGTAGATCTTCCTCAAGGCAGTCAAATAAAATTCTAGGTGCTTGTGAGTTCTTGATGAGGGCCTTGCAGTTTTGAATGTCTCTATAGCAAAAAACAAGAATAAAGTTCATATGAACATGGGAAGTTCTAATCTCATAGGTAGACTTTTAGAATTGCTTCTAGCTTCTCATACATCTATACTATGTATAATATATAGTTTATAAAGGTTAATAATGGTTTTTATGAGAACATGGAATATTAGGAAAATTCCTACTTTTAAATTTAGAGTTTGGCTTTTTTTTTTTTTAGGTTCCTCCATTCTTAAAGACAGCTTTTTGTAGGAGTAGAGATCTTCATTTAATGCCATGTAGAGATAGCTAAGAAAAAGTTATGAAATTTCATTATCTCTTGAAAACTTTCACGTCATTCAGCTTCTTCTGTAATGCCACCAAAGAGCAGAAAAGGCGGCTAGTGTATAAGCACAAATGTTGAAAGTAAACATGTTTCAGTGCTCATGGACTTCATACGCTGTTATTTGTTCTTGTCTTCAGCAGCTTATGTGTTCAGGGGTGGATTAGTATTGCTTAGGAACATTTACCAGCTCTGTGACTTCAAATTTCCTCTTTTGGGGCATCAATTTCTTTGACTGTAACGTGTAGGGAATTGAATTATGTGATCTGTGAAGTTTCTATTTCTAAAATTCTGTATGTCCCTCAGATTTTTGCCACTTGTTAAAATCCATGGCTAAGGATTTCAGGTTTCTTGCCATTAAAAATTATGAAAGGAAATGAAGACAGGCAAACAGCCGTCATTTTCTTCTAGAAGAGATTTATAATGAGAGATTATTTGAATTATTTTTATGAGGCAGCATATTTCTCCTTAAGTGACCTAAATAGATGTTTCTGGTTTAAATTGTCTTTGAATAAAATCCCCTAATTTTTTTTCCCTCCTAGAACTTTAAACATACCTTTTATAATAGGATAATATTTTCAGAAGCTATTGCTTTTTAAAGTTAATTATTTATTACATTTTAAGGTTTCTAAGTGTTCATGAATTCTAATTATCTCAATTAGAATTCCTGTTAAGATAATATGGAATAATCAAAATTTACGGGAAAAAGGTCCAAATTGGTTCCTCTTTACTAGTTTTGCTGTGTTCACGTTTTACTATGTGACAGGAATTTATGTAGGGCAAACCCATTCTCCCATATTTTAGAGCTAATTGTGTTAAGACCACTTGCAAGATTCTATAATGACATGAGATTGGACAGGAAAGAACAGCGTGCCTGACCGAATCTTCATGCTCTTCTGATAAGTTCTTGAAAGTGCATTCTATGCCTAGAGTTAATTCTCGTGGCTTCCAGGTACTCATGTCCAGTTGTCTTGGCAAATAATCTGGAGTCTAGTCAGAGTTTTCAAGGATTTCACATGATGGTTATTTTTTAGACCTTCAGAAATTTTCTACTTTTTCTTGACTTCATTTTGACTGTTTTTCCTTTTTGATAATGCTGTTTGGAAACTGACTAGTGGTATTGGTTAATAGAAGAAAAACAGAAAATTAACATAAAATATTTCTTGGGTGTGTTAATTTTCTATCCCCCCCCACATCGTAATACAGGTTTTTAGTTGAGATACTGTAACTTGCTAGTTAAGGCTGGGACTTTCTAAGTGTAGCTTTGGGATTTTACTCAGTTTGATCAGTATTGCAATCAGAAAATTCACAAGAACTTCTCACCTTGTGTAAATGTGGCTAATTTTTGTTTAAACATTTTGACAAAAATAACCTCAACGTACTCTGTTTATTTCTGAACTTGCTGTTGGAGATGGGTCATCCTGCTGAAGGCTTAATTACTTAAAAATGGAAATATTTTAACAGCATGGCTCATCACAGATAGTAAGTTTCAAAGACTAGTAAGGTATTTTTCTGATGCAAAGTTTGTTTTTGCACAGGGTGAGAATCTCTTAGAACATTTTCTGATTGCTTTATATTTTTATTTTTATTTTTTTTAAAGCTGTGTTATTTTTTAGTTCTTCATGCTTTGGAAGTAACAGTTGAAGAGAGGTGAGGAAAGTTTGTGAAAATTGTGATCGGTGATTAGCTGCCACCTGCCTGAGGTGTCTTCTGAGAGGAACTAACCTCTTTGTGGTGCTAGAGCAAGGTCACTGGAAAAAAAAAAGAACAGGTAACCATCTTATTCCTTGTCTGAAAAGTTCTGTTTTAAAATTAACAAATGCAAAACATTCAAGGTAAATGAGCCACTGTTTATAAAAGTCTTTTTCTTCTCAGAAACTAGTAAAGTGGACTACGTCCTTTTCCAAGCTGCCACAGCCATCATGGAAGCAGTTGTCCGAGAGTGGATTCTCTTGGAAAAGGGCAGCATCGAGTCACTGCGGACATTCCTCTTAACCTATGTCTTACAGAGGCCCAAGTAAGTGCACCACAGTGGGGCTTGCAAGCTCACACATCTGTCCTTCTAGGGCTTGCTTCATTTTGGATGTTGGTGTTGGTGGTTAAGCTCTGTGTGGAATTCATTTTAAAGACTTAACACTTGATTATAGCTTGTTTTCATACTTAGTGAAAATAAGCTTGTGACTCTAGATTTTGTTTCTCTATAAAGGTGCTAAACATTGTTGTTGAGTTCTGAAGAATTTGGTTATAAATAAAAGTTGATCTTAGATTCAGATATAATTTTTTAATATATACTTGTTCTTAGGGGCTTGTCCAAGAGGCTTATTTCTTTTAATATGCTTTAAGTCTAGAATGAGATAAGTATTATATGACATAGGTGAGTATGCCAAGATGGGAGAAGGGAGAAATTAAGTGCCACTAACTGAATGTTACGTGTATTTGTGTGTAGAGAATATTTTGTAATAAATTGCGCCATATTTTTCAAATTTCCTTAGGAAAAGTGGATTGGGTTTCAGAGATGAGGTGAAAGTATGTTTAAACATTTTTATAAGACTGTATTTATTTATTGCTCATATGATTTTTTTTTAGATGAAAAATAGGAAAATAATTAGCTATTCAATTTTTGGGGAGAAATTTATTTACTACTTTCACTGTTTTTACTGTTTCTAAGTCCACCAGGCACCAAGTGTTCTTTTAAGACTAAACAATACACATTTGTATTTTTGCTCTTTGTGCAATTGAATACTAGATGTTCAATTCCAGATTTAATGAAAAAAAGTTTGTTATATAATCAGAAATGCATGTACCCTGTAATGGTGATCTGGTGATGAATAAATACATAAAACTTTAAATCTGGGTATGGGATGTAGCTTAGTGGTAGTGTTTGCCTGTCATATGCAAGGTACTGAGTTCGGTCCCCATCACTGCAAAAATAAGTGAAAAACTTACATATAATTTAGAGCATACTGCCATGTATGGTGACCAGCAGTCTCTGAATTCATGTTTTTTCAAAGTCATAATTACTGACATGTCTGTAGCACTTGGTTAACTGCTGACTGCTTTACATATAGAAAATTCAAGAGAGAAAGAAAGCCTGTTTACTTCTGTTTAAGCATTACACGTTTCGTGGATAATACATGCTGTAAATGACTCTAGATATATGTGTATGAAGAGATTATGGCTTATTTTTCTGATTTTTTTTTTTTGTGAGGGGTGGCAGTGGTACTGCTGTTTGAGTTCAAGGCCTGTACATGCTAGGGAAACACTCTGACTTGAGCCACACCCCCAACGTGACTCAAGTGACCTGTGACTTACTCTTTATTTTAAACCTTTCTCTTCTCCTCATGCTAAATTAATTGATTTTTGTTTGTTTTGAGTGTGATAATAGCTTGCTCTCTTGTTTCTATTTGACCATATTTGCCAGATTTAGCAGGACTGTTTTCTTTTGACCTCTGGGTTCTGTACAACCCAGAGCCTTGTACAAACTAGGCATTTGCTCTACCACTGACTCACACCCAACCTCTGTACATAAAGAAAGATGAGTGCAAGTAAGTTGAAATCTTGACAATGTCAGTGTTTGCTGCATTTTTTCCCCATAAGCTATAATTTGCACACATCAAAATTTCTACTACAGGTTTTGCTGAATTTTACTAAAAATGATAATTCATTTTAATCTTTCTTACCATAATAAAATATTTTAAAATAAATTTTTACAACATACACTTACTGTTGAACAGAACTTGAAACTTTTATGTTTATGTATATAAATAACATAAACTTTTGTGTTTTATGTGTATATATATATATATACACACACACACACACACACACAAAATACACACACATATATACACATATAATAAAATGAACCTTAAGGTGTTTGTGTTTATAGGAATTTATATGTAGGAAGATTTAAAACAAAATTTCGGCCCTTAAGTGTTTTTAGTATTGGCTGTTAGGTCTAAAGTGTTTTCTGGTGGGACTAGTTGTTGTTTTTTTCTCAGTGTACTAGGGTTTAAACTTAGGGCTTCTTGCCACTCTGCTGGTCCTTTTTTGTGTTCGGTATTTTCGACATAGGGTCTTGTGAACTATTTGCCCAGACTGGCTTCGAACCACGATCCTTTTGATCTCTGCCTCCTGAATAGCTAGGATTATAGGTATGAGCCACCAGTGCCCATCCAAGTGTCTGGCTCCTAAAGTGTTTTCTGAAGAGTAGTTTATTTGACCTTCAGAAACTGATGTAAAATCTCCAAGTCTCGCTTTTACTTGTAGAACAGGAACTTGGTACCCACCTCCTGTGGTTGAGTCAGGATCACATGGAGAGTGAGTTCTAGGCAATCTCAGTCATCATCAGAGAATTCTGTAGAGCTGTATACATGTAACTGAGTGACACATTTTGTGCCATCTTGTATTCCTGAAATAATTCCATTCTTAAATGAATTGACTAGTACAGAAGCGATTTTAGAGTAGATATATTGTTCCTTATTGAAGTAGTTCTCGTACAAATTCTTCGAACACTCTTTTTTTTCCTTTTTTTGAGGTGCTGTAGATGGAACCCGGAGCCTTGTACATACTAGGCATTTGCTCTACCACTGACTAACACCCAACCTCTCTTTCATACTTTATTTTTTTCCCTCCACCCACTCTCACTTTAATTTGAAAAAAATTGAAAACTTTAGCAAATAGTGCAATAAAAGAAAGTACAATAAATACACACATGCACACACACACACACACACACACACACACACACACACACACACACACACACACACACACACACCTACCTACCTTTCCTCTGAGAGACTTAGTTAATAATTTTGTTACATTTGATTTCTGTTGGTGCAGGTTTCCCCTGAACCATCTGAGAGACGTGATACTACTTCATCCTTACATACTTGAGCATGTCTCTTCTAAAATGTAGTCTTAATGCTATTGACATAATTGGAATAGTTATGTAATGTAATTCTGATTCCAACTGAGTTCCCCAGTTGTTTAAATGACACTTAAATTTTTCTCTTTTAGTTTTTTTTTAGTATTAGTCTATCTTTTCATTGAGATCTATACATAATTTGCTTTACATATTGAAGTACAATAGGTGATTTTTGTAAAACCAGGATTTAACTACCGATTATACATTGTATTTAGTTGTCACATCTCTTTAGTCTCTCTTAATCCAGAATAATTCTGCCTCTTTTGTCATACTGTGATATGGACATTTTTATCTTTTTTTTTCTGGTGCTGGTAGGTAGAATTCAAGACCTAGCTCTCTACCACTGAGCTACATCTCCAGAATGCTCTACAATATAAATTAGATTCAAGTTAAAAAGATTTGGTATATTAAATAGGTGGAAACTACAGGTTATGATATAGACTACTATGTATATATATGTCTAGTGTAATTATGTACTTGCCATTACATGCACAGAAGTTTTTCTTTTCTATTTTTATTCCTTTTTATTGAGGTCTGAACTCAGGGCCTACTCCTTAAGCCACTCTACCAGCTCTTTTTTGTGAAGGGTTTTTTCGAGATAGGGTCTCGTGAACTATTTGCCCAGGTTGGCTTCGAACTGTGATCCTCCTAATCTCTGCCTCCTGAGTAGCTAGGATTACAGGCATGAGCCACTGGTGCCTGGCCACAGCCCTCTGTTTTAGAAAGGCAGGTAACAATGATTATGAAAACAACTTGCACTACATTTCTGTCACTTAATTCTGTGACCTTGGACAAACTACTTGACTAATCTTGTCTGTGGTTCAAGTCTGTGTTCAGTGGTTCAAGTCTATGTTTTGAAGAAATATTTTTCCCTTCAGTCTTGATAAAGGCAGGCATGTTTGTTCATTTGGGTAAATGTCTAATAATAAGTGCCTGCTGTTTGGCAGGCAGTGAGTTTTGCATATACTAGGGTACTTTAGAGTGGGTGGTTGATCTGCAGGATATAGTTACAGTACTAGTAGATGATGTGTCATATCATGTGTGGACTCCTTAGTAATAACTTTCTGATAAAGTGACATTATAGTCTAGGCAAAGTGAATAGAAGTTCAGAAGCCTGGAAGTGCATATGAAACTATATGCCTGTGATTTTGAATGTATGTGAAAAGAGTGAGGTCAGCGAGCAGAGTAGGCACTTGGTCATGAAGGGCCTCATAAATGGGTGGTCGTATAATTTATGTGTAAGCTAGGTTATGTTGAGAGTGGAAGTAAGCACTATTATTAATACTTTTGCTGGGGGGTTGGTGGTGTAGCTCAAGTGGTAGAGTGCTTGCTCAGTATGTGAGAGGCCCTGGGTTCAGCCCCCAGTACTATTCTCTTGTTCCCTTTCCTGCCCCCTTTACAGGTTTATGATGGACAGCAGGTAAATGGTGACTGCCCCAGGAAAGCCAGAATGGGTCATTTTGCTTATAAGCCATGGTGAGGGCTGTGGGTTTATCCCAAGGGCACATGGTTGCATCTCTGTACTATCTGAGAGGCTATACTACAACATTCATGTTTTCTGAGCTTTACCTTTAAGGTTCTGAAAAGGCGTTTAAGTCTCTGTGCCCTTGTGGTGGGTGGGCCTTGTAGAATGCCTCAACTTGGCATGGGTTCCAGAGGAACAGAACCTAGATAGGTCATTTAAAGTTTTAAAATTTGTATGTTTTCATGATATTATACCTTGAATAGTTAGAATTTTGCCTTTTCATGTTAAAGGGTAATAGGAGATACTGCTGGTTGGAGGTGGATATCAGATCAGAATCAGAATTTATCTTAATCTTAGTGATTGTCTCCACAAACATTTAACAGGGAATTGACTTAACTTTTATTGAACACTACCAGAAGTGCTTAGTGTGTACTGGGCACAGTCTAGGAACATTTAGTCCTCATAACAACCTTGTAGGTGTTATCCCCATTTTAAAAATGAGAAAACCGCGACTTGTTGCTGTCTTGCCCAGGATCACGTAGCCAGTAATAATGAAGCCTGGATTCAAACCTAGGTTTTCTGAATTTGGTGTCTGCACTTACTCTGTACTACTAATAACATCATTAACAAGTGGTGTTATAGTAGCTTTAGACATAGTGAGAAATTTGGGAGTATTTTTACATTAGATTTAGGTCAGTGTTTTCACAATGATTTTTTTTTTTTTTTTTTTTTTTTTTTTTTTATGTTTTACAGCCTCCAAAAGTATGTTCGGGAACAGATTCTATTAGCAGTAGCAGTAATTGTCAAGCGAGGATCATTAGATAAATCAATTGACTGCAAAAGCATTTTTCATGAAGTTAGCCAATTGATAAGTAGTGGCAATCCCACTGTGGTAAGTATGATAACTATTTGTGTTAAAAAGTTTTATTTTATCTTACCCAAATGGCATTACAGTAATAGAAGTATGGATAGCTACATAAAAGAGAAAGTTCATATGTTAATCAAGCAGTTTTCATTTGTTCAAGTTTTCTTCTAGTCTTTGAAAATATGTGCATATAAGGTAGAAATAGTGAGTTTGTCTTTTTTTTTTTTTTTTGGTGGTACTGCGCTTTGAGCCCAGGGCCTTGCACTTGTTAGGTAGGTGCTCTAGCACTTGAGCCACTCCCCCAGCCCTTGCTTTTTTCATCTGATTCTGTTTTTCCATGTTGCCATAGTATTCATAATCATTTATTTGTATAGTCATTTTAATTGGTTGTAAAACATTTCAAGTTCATATTCTTAAACCATTTCAATTGAACATTTTCTCCTTATTTTTTAATAAGCCTTGGACAAATACTTGTGATTAGAGAGATGTTTGAGTTAAATTCAAAGTGATATCTGACATAGCAGAAATCATTAGCTATTACTATACTAATAGGCCAAGGTATACCATGACTTGTAGGTGTTTCTGTCAGGTGAACTAATGTGAGGCCACTGTTCTTGACTAATCACTTTGGGAAGGTGATTTCCCCCTCCCCCCCTCAAGTGTTCTGTTTGTGTTTTAGAGAACTGGAATCCTGTTTAGAATGCTGGTTGATTGTAATCAGTCTGTGAGAGGCAGAAGTAACAGGAGTTGGTGTTAATGATCAGTGTGGTCATTGGACTGACCTGTTCACTGTTTTTTTTTTTTTTGTGGTACTGGAGTTTGAACTCAGAGTCTCACACTTGCTACTGCATGAGCCCACTCCACCAGTTGACCTGTTGACTTTTATTAGCTGAGTGTTACTTAAAAATCCCACTCTTATACATGGTATTAGGCTGGGTGCTGGTGACTCATGCCTATAATCCTAGCTGCTCAGGAGGCAAAGATCAGGAAGATCATGGTTCAAAAAGCCAGTCTGGGCATAATAGTTCACAAGACCCTATCTTGAAGAAATTCTTCACAAAAAAGGGCTGGTGGAGTGGCTCAAGATGTAGGCCCTGAGTTCAAACCCCAGTACCAAAACAAAGAAATGTGATTGGTACCTTCTGACAATTCTGATTCTCAGATATTAAATGTAATATTTTGGGTAGGTTTTTGTGTTTTTTAAATAATTTTTTAAATCATTTGAAAGATATATATGTGAAGCTATACATCTTAGAGTTCTTTGTGAATTCCTTTATATCTTCATTGGTTCTTCAATAAGGCATATGGTTTTTATTATGTATTTGTTTTTTGCAGTGATGGGGATCGAACCTAAGGTCTTGCACATGCTAGGCAAGTGCTGTGGTAATGAGCTATACTCCCAGCCTCCTGTGTGATTTTTAGTCGTGTATTTAGTGCTTTGAGATTGAGATGTAGTGGCACATTTTAGGAGGCTATGTACGTTGCCCCTCACTTTCCACAGTGGCTCCAGTCTCTTTTTCCCACCCTGTCCAACCTTTTACCATGCGTAACTATGCATCTACCTCACTGCTCCAGCCATTTGCCCCCTCCTCTGGGATCCCACACTGACATAACAGAAGTCTGGGTTTAAGGAATCCATAGCAAGCTTGTCAGAACTTTAGAACTTAATATACATACCCCTGGTTTTTCTCCCCTTCCCCTCCCTTAGGAATTCACCAGAGTTTATGTATTTATTTTTTTCCCTTATTAACTCTTTGAATAAATACATGTATTACTGCATCCAGGGAACTACCACCAGAATCAAGATACAGAATATTTCATCTGTAGAATCATCAGATGACTTTCTATAGATGAAGAAAGGGTTGAATGAACTATTAAATTAAGTAACTACTTTTCCCTCATACGTCATCTAGAATGATGCTTCCATCAAACTTACTGGCCAGAAGTTATATGTGATCTGGCTCCTCCCTCACCTTGGAAAAGTATTGGTGTTTGGTTGTCCATTCCCCTGTACCAGTCTCGTGAACATGTTTATACAGGAAGTATGGCATAGTATACTATGGTTTTAGATTCATAGTTAGGCTTGTATTACAGTTGTGCAGTTTACTACCACTTAAATTATTTAAATTCTGTAGCCATTAATTCCCAAAATGTAAACTTAATTGTTTAATATCACTTCAGGGGCTGTTTATTCAGCACGTGCTGCCCCTTTCTTTGTAAAATCTTGGGGAAGTGAACTATAGTAAATCATCTCTTTCTGTCAAACTGTTTTAAGTATTGAAAAGCAGAAGAAAGTATTCACTAGTACAAACTAATTATTTGTGTGTTTTTAAAAAACACATTGCCAAACACATTAGCTTTTGCTTAAATTCTTTAAGTAGTGTTGGTTTTCTGCAGATAGTTTTATAAATTCATAAAACTTCTAAGGAGATATTTCTTAGTATAGTTTTCCACATGTTATGGAGCATTGTTTGTGAAATTATGCTTGTATGATCACTAAGTATGTGTTGTTTCATGCCTGTCTTTGTGGGCAGGCTGTTTCACTTCCATAGTTATTTTATCTCAGTTGTCAAGTGTCACACCTACTCTCAGTACTGCCTTGAGAGGGATACAGAAATGTTCCTTCTTAGGAAAGTAGGAAATTTTTTATTTTAATCTAACATTTAAGCTAAAATTATCTATTTCATGTTTATGTCCTTTGAAAGGAGCAGACCTATTTTAAATTGCTCTTAAAGATGTTGAATTCACGATGTAAGCCTCCTTTCCTCCTCTCTGCCATGTTGGGGAGAAGTGGGTTAGAAATTCACTTGTTTACAGCAGGGCTGCCCCTGAATATGATTGCCAACTTAATCTCGCTTATCACAAAGTCTCATTGATGTTTGCTTAGAAGAGCAGCTGAAAGTCTGCTTTATAGTACGGTAACCTTTCATAAAGTTTATTCTTGGCAGTAAGGGTCCTGGGGTAAGAGCCAGGCTATTATAAGAGACAGTCCTCTCTCTGAACAAGAGCATTTTATTTTGTCAGCTGGAGTTAGTATTTGAGTATTGTACTTGTGACAGAAGCTGGTAAAACAAGTTGTCTATGAAGGGCATTTTTTTTCATTAGCATGAAATTAATGACTTTGGCTAAAATGAGAATGCTGTTTAAGACTTTTAATTTGAAGGCAAGAGTTACTTAAATTGATAGCAAGTGAATTAACTTGTGGGTTTTTAGTACTTCAATGAAAGAAGACATACTATAAATACTTTTTCATAAGCTTGAGACCTCATTGCATTGTCTTCTATTTGTTTTACGTATTTAAGTTTTTTTGAATTGTATAAGCAGTTAGAAGCATAGGGAACACATTATGTATTTTCCACCTTATGTATTGCTAGGTGTAGAAGTAAACACCAATCCATTAATTCAGGCAGTATTTACTGAGCATCTACTTTTGTATATGTGTGTGTGTGTTGTGTGGTGCTGAGGATCAAACCCGGGCCTTGCACATGCTAGGCAAGCACTTTACTACTGAGCTACACCCCAGCCCACCTACTATTTTGGGGGTGGGGGCAGTACTGGGGCTTAAGCTATGCAGGCTCTCTACTGCTTGAGCCACTCTGCCAGCCAATCCACTATTTTTAAGTGGTAATTTATCTTAAAAGATAATACTGAAGAGGTAGGAATAAAGAAGCCGGTATGGGTGGTTGTTAATTTTTATGATAATGGTAAAAATTATTTCTACTTTACATTATCATAAGCTGCTGCATTTATACTGTACTTCTACTTATTTTGCATTATTTTGAACCTTTGGGTAGTATCCCCTTCTGTAAGTGAGACTTCTGAGGCTACCATCAATGAAGTGCCTTGCTCACAATTATTTAAAGTGTTAAATGGACTGTTAGAATCCAGATTTGCCATGGTCCAAACAGTAGAATTCTTTGACTGGACTCCTGAAGAGTCATGCAGAGTATTTTTATTTAAAATGTATTTTAGATAGAGGTTCAATAAATTTTGTTAATATTTTGGTTTCTAACTTATTAGCAAATGAAAATGGTCGATTTGGAACTACCTGTTGGTGGTAGTGAGGTTGCCAGCAGCAGTGAGTGGTAGATGACCATAAAGGCTGCTTGAGAAGAACTGTGAAGCAGACATGATCAAAAAGCATTAAGATCTGGTGCCACTTGGTAAAAGGGTATAAGGCTCCATGTACTTGAGTAGATTCCAATAGTTATTTTATTCTAATACTATAAAGTGATTGCTAAAAAAAAGATCATTTTGTTATAAGCCTTTATTTCACTTAGAAAATAACAGATATTAACTTAATTCTTTTATGATCTTTGATAAATGAGACTTTGTTGTGTTATCCTCTTAGAAGTCTTAAAGTTTGTACTAACAGTATTTTGTACTGGTCAAATCCCTGTAAATGTAGTATGACAATTCTGTTCTGCTTCTCAGTCAACTTTCATCTGATTTCACTAATTTTGTTTTTTTTTTTCTAAGCCATCTTGGGGGTTGAACTCAGGGCCATGTGCTTGCTAGGCAGGTGCTATACCACTTGAGCCTCTCTACCAGCTCTTTTTTGAGATGGGGACTCACTTTATTCCCAGGCTAGCCTGAGTGGTAGTGCTCCTATTTGTGCTTCTCCAAGTAGTAGCTAGGATGATAGGTGCGCACTCTCCCACACCTCCGGTGCTCAGCCACTGGTTGAGTTGGTGTCTAGCAAACTGTTTGCCTGGACTGGCCTTGAACCTTCCCATCTCTGCCTCCCAAATAGCTAGAATTGTAAATGTGAGTCACCATGTCTGGCTTCACTGAAATTATTTACAACAGCTTTTGTTTCTGACCTAAATCTCAGAGTATCTGTCTGTAATATAGAGTAATATCTAGACTTGAGTCTGACAAAGGGAAAAAAGGCAACATTTTAAAGTACTGGATATTACAGATGGAGTAAGAGTTAATGTTCTTGGGGTGACCACTAAGCCTAAGCCTGTAGCAAGGAGAAGGAAGCTTTCACAAGGGTAACTAGTCTTATACTTATGGTCTCTCACAGGCAGATTCCATCTTTTCCCCTTTCCTTTATTTCTGTCCTGGGAAGGAGCCGTCCTCTGTTCTCCCTCGGGAGCTTATTTTTGGCTGGCTGCCGAAGCTATCTTCAGTACAATACAATGTGAGAGTAACTTCATTTTAAGGGGATTTAATTGGCAGTTAAATACTGACAATGAGAAAACGTATTTGGAAACAAGGTTTAGACATTGTGATGTGTTTAATTCCCCCTGTGAATAGGGAGAAATACTTTGTTGATATGTGTCAAAGTATTTTGCTCTCTTAATGGCTATAATCAGTGCTTACTTATTCATCTTTCTCCAATGAGTCTGTTCACTTTGTACCTTTGAATCAGGGAACTATAGTGTAATTAGGTTTTAAGATGCTAATCTTACAATCTTATAAGACTTCCAAATTAAGGAGAGATTAAGTTTTGGTATCTGTTAATGATATAACCCTCTCACTGAATTTTAGTTCTTTGAAAGCTGGTGATTTTGGGTATGGTTAAAAAAATATTTGACTTCTCATGCTGAATAGTAATTTATTTTTATGTATTTCTCTAAGTTTCTAAGTGGTACAGTTGAATAGAAAACATTTGTTTTAGATATTTCTCTTTATTTTATAGGTATAAAGTGGAAAAAGAACATGAAGTAATACATATGGGTTGATAGCAGTAGTTTATAAATAATGTATATGCATGCATTAAGATTAGAAATCCAGGAGAATGATGGAGGGGTTGAATTCAATTATGTTATATTCTAAGATCTTTTGTAAATGTCACAATGTACCCCAGTACAACAGTAATATAATAGAAAAAATTTTTTTAAAAACTTAGAAAACAAAACAAAAAAAAGTTAGAAAGCTGTAACTGTTAAATTAAACATCCTGGATGATGGGGTTATAGGCAATTTTATCTTTGTGCTTTTCTGTACCTTCCAGTTTTACTAAGATGAACATATATTGTGTTATTTTTGTGGGCTGAAAAATTATTTAAGGATAAGAGATTATTATGTTCAGATTGCTAATAAACCTGTCATAAGAATGCATTATGTTCTATTCCGCAGGCCTGTGGGACCCTTGCTGGTCTGCATTTGTGTAGCTAAGGGACTTAGAGCTCCTTATTTGCTTGGAGCAGGTCCCCCTTCCCCAAGGCCTTTATTTGTTGGCCTTGTCCCTTTACTCCACTCATTTGTTTCATGTCTTGACCATAAACATATGGATGTAATCTTAGGAAATACTTCACATAAAGCATAACTTTATTGTGAGTATATGTTGTTTAAATCAATAATTACAGATGTGCTATTGAAAATTTGAATATGGTTATAGTTTTAAAATAGGCTATTTTGTTAATGTGCCCAAAAGCCAGTCTGTGGCAAGTTGTAAATTACTTGTGGTAAATTATTGTAAACCATTTATTTGTAAGGGCAATAGCAATTTGTGTTTACAAGTGCTTCTGGATTTTTTAAAGCTTGCATATTTTTGTATAAGTTTTGTGTGGATTCTGTCTTGAATAGATTATCTCATCTGAGATTCTGAAATTAATTTTCTCTTTTAGTTAGACATTTTGTCAAGACATTTATGTGTCTGCTCATAATGTCCTAGTCACTGGAGTCTTACTTAGAAAGGACAGGTGAAAGACTTAAGTATAAGACATAAAAATTTGGAATACTAAAGATTATTTTAAGAATTACAGGATCTCAGAATTCATTTCTTAGATCTTTGTGAGCTAATGTTTTCCTCTGAATTTCATTAATTTAATACCTATTTATTATTTTATTTAATATCTGTTTTCTCCACCAAAGCCTAGCTATATTTAAGAACCATGTTCGAAGTTTATCCGATGTTTTTGAATGTGTCTGTGAAGTATTGATTACTGGAACTTTAATTACCATTTAAAAGAAAGCTATTAAAATTTTTTTTTTTGTAGTAGTAGGGTTTGAACTCAGGGCCTTGAGCTTGCTAGGCAGGCACTCTACCTCTTGAGCCATGACCTTACCCCTTTTAAGCTTTAGTTTGTTTTTAGGTAGGGTCTTGTGTTTTTTGGCTGGGGCCAGCCTGGACATCGGTCCTCTTGCCTTGCCTCTCACATAGTTGGAGTGACTGGTGTTTACCATCACACCCAGATTTTTGTTGAGACGTGATGTTGCCAACTTTTAACGTGGGCTGGTTTCCAACCTCAGTCTTCCCAATCTCTGCTTCCTTAGTAGCTGAGATTACAGATGTGAGCCACCACACCCAGCTAAAATGACAGTTTTGTTAACTTTAAAATGAAGGCATTTTTACTTGGTAAGTTTCTTAAATTCCTTTAAACTGTAAAATAAAGTACACGATAAACTGTTTTCTCTGTAAGAGGCTCTTGTGCCTGATTTTTCAGACCACATTTCTTTGAGTCATGCAAAGGCAGTAAAAAGGTACATTTTTCTTGAAGATTTGAGGAGAAGAGGGCTTTTATATTAAAATGAAATGTATACTTTGAAGTAAAATTACAAAGTGTGAGAAACCAGAGACCATGTGTTAGGCAACAAACAACACAAAACAATGTGTATGTGTGTGCAGGTTAAACTCAGTGTTCAGAGAACTTTTATCATTGTAGAAAATACTATTGATTGATAACCTCCAGATCCCCTAGGGAATGTGCATTTGCTTCCTGATATGAGAAGATAGGGAAATTAAAGAAATGTGTGAAGTAGCATGCCTGCCATAAAATACTAGTATTATAGTTGTGCTTATTTTAGTTGAGATGAAGAGACAAATATGAACTTCTGATTTTTTTTTTCTTTTTACATTTTTAAAAGAAACTCAGATACCTACAAAAATAGACAAATAGTATATTGGTCTCCCATGTAACCATCACTCACCTTCAACAAATACTAGCTTACTCATGCCAATCTTTAGGCATTTAATTTTATGTGTATCTGCTAAGATTTGTGAAGATAAGCATCTGTAAGGTCAAGGTACTAACATCAGAAGCATTTCTGAACAAAGATGTTGCAGTTGGTGGGTGGGTCCCACTGTGTTCAGCTGTCGTATAAGCCTGCAGAAATAGGATCATCTTGACTTTAATCTTTCGGTTGTTCAGAGGTAGTGTGCATATTTCTGTTCAATCCCTGGAAACATGCCAAGATAATTCTTATTCTTATCTCCATCCTTGGTACCTTGACTCTACACAGTCTATGAATAAGATTAATGAGTTGATACCATGAGCCTATAAGATAGAACTTATGAGAAGGAAAATGTCATTTTTTATTTAAAAAATTTTTGAATGTACTTGTTTAACATTTTGGAGACTAGAAAGTCTTTCTCTGCTTTTGGGAAGACATTTTGCAAATTTGAGACCATAGACAGACCTGGGTTCAAATCTCAGCTGGCTTTAGGTAATTACCTATCCTCTCTAAGTCTCAGTTCTTTCAAATGTAAAGTGTATGGCTTGGGCAAATTAAATGAAATCACATATTGAACATTGTTTTAAAATGTCACATAAATTTATGTTTAAATAGGAGGATTGTGTTCTGAGTTGCAGTGTTAAATGAATTTGAGAAGTACTATTAATACCAGGCCACTTTGAAAGGAGAGCTAATCTTTAGTTTGTGATATTTTCTGACAGGTAGTTATCTAGAACTATAACAGACAATCTAAAGATAGAAGTGGGGCACCGGTGGCTCACTCCTATAATCCTAGCTACATGGGAGACAGAGATCCGGAGGATCTCGGTTTGAAGCCAGCCTGGGCAAATAGTTCACTAGACCCTATCTTGAAAAAATCCAACACAAAAAAGGGTTGGTTGAATGGCTCAGGTGGTAGAGCGCTTGCCTAGCAAGCATGAAGGCCTGATTTTAAACCACAGTCCTACCCCTCAAAAAAAAAAAAGGAAAAAAGATAGATTAAAAATGTTTTATTAAATTTGAAAAAATATTGTGTTAAAACAAACCCTTGAAAAACAATGCCTCACAATTATCTCTTACTAAATACAGCAAACGCTGGCCTGTTCTATTCTAACTGCACTGTTGAGTGAATTCTCAAGTTCAAGTAAAACTAGCAACATTGGACTGAGTATGGAATTCCATGGTAACTGCAAAAGAGTTTTCCAGGTATCGGTACTTTCGTTCTTTTATTTTAATTATTAAACTACCCACTTTTTACTCAATCTGTTCCTAATAAATGAAAACATTTATCGTAGGTAGTGGAGTGATAGCTTATACCTGAGGATTTGTGATATAGTAAAGTGGTAGGTTTGGCAAATGTGGTTGACAATTTAAAATTACTTGTTTAATTTTTATCTTTAAACAGAACAAAAAGAGAATATTGTTATACAGATTCCTTAATTATTTTCTTATTGTATTTAGATATGACTATTTCAATTGATAAGATTCTGCTGCCTTTAAAAATAGGACTGGAAAAATGCCAAGAGGTCTTTAAAATGTTATTGCAGATGGTGTGGACTCTTTGTTTCTCTATGTATTGTTTGGCTCTGGAGTTAAGTTATGTGAAGGCATTGGCTTAAATCCTAGGGCTCTGCAGTATAGCAACTGACTGCCCCAGCTCCACAGTAGTTATACAGTGCTCTCTTCTCTATAGAGCAGTATTTATATTATAGTAAATGGTGTTACTTGAAGCCACACTGTGGTAAATTCTGAGACCTCAAGATGGAAAATGCTTTTAAGGAAATAGTGTTTTCTAGTGGAAGTCCTAAGGTTCTTGTTTGTTTTGCTTTATGGTTCTAAAATTTTTAGGAATGCATTTTGAATTGAGTGCCAGTACAAAAATGCTTTCTTGGCCGCAGGAAGAAGACCTTCGCCAGATCTTCATGTTGACCGTTGAAGTTCTGCAGGAGTTCAGCAGGCGGGAGAACCTCAATGCACAGATGTCTTCAGTGTTTCAGCGTTACCTTTCACTTGCCAATCAAGTCTTGAGCTGGAACTTTCTTCCTCCAAATTATATCCTTTTAATAATTGAATAGTTCTTTGTGGTGATTTTCATAGATGACTTAATTATGACTCAAAGTCACTTAAATATGCAAGTTTTGTAAAGCATATTGTTGAAAGAATTAAGTTTTTTGGATTTTATAATGCTACAGAACAGTACTACTTACTACTTACTACTTTGTAGAAGAGGGCTCAATACGTGAAAACATTTGGTGACTAACAGGGTATTGCTAAATTAAGAAAAGCAGTGTTCTTTGGGAAGAAAAATGCAAATTTACTAAGCAACAGGACTGTTTTCTCCTTGGATGTGTAGTTACATAGGATTTTTTTGACTAATTTTCCCAAAGGCTAGTTTGGAATGCTCTGTAGTTTAGTCTTTGTAGATATTCATGTATAGACAGTAAATTATTAAAATGTTTTTTCTTCAGAGGTCTTTACTAATATAAAAAGATGAAAACTTCATTTTTAGGAAATTATTGGTAATATAAAATAAGCTTAAATGTGTATTTGGTTTTAAAAAATCAGTTTGTTTCTAAATTAGAGACTTTTGTGTTTTTGAAAGCAGTTCCTTAGAGTTTATGATTTATTATCCTAGAACATCTGCCTAGTGATGGATTGAACAGTAATGTGTAGTGGTGTAGTTAAGTCAGGCAGATCTGGGTTCAAGCCTCAGCTGACCTCGGGCAAATTTCTGAATCTTTTGGAATCTTAATCCAAATGTATGATTAGGATACAGAGCATCGTGTGGGTTAAATGAAAGGATGCATTTAAAACACTGAGAGTTAGCTGTCTTTGGAGCCGTTTGTAGCATCCTTAAATAAAGAAGTTCATTGCATTATACAGTTGGCTATCTTTGTTACGCTCTTCCTTCTTGATCTACCTCACTGCTGTATGATATAGAACATTTAATGTAACCTGTCCTAGATGTCTTCAATCAGCCCTTTCTTGAAATTCTGAGGGTGTTTATTTAGGAGAACAGGGCTAATCACAATGAAGTAAGAAACAGTCCTATCAGAGATTTAGGATGAGATTCATTTTTCCTACAGAGACAAGAGCCCCATTATATTCATATACATAGAAGTTTAATTATGACTAGTAAAACTGTAGGGCTTAAAGGGGTATCATGGGTCATCACTTCTGTTTTCAAGTTACTATATTTATGTAGTAGAAAATGAAGTATGAAAGGCAGGTGGTATGGGGTGAAGTGAGGCTGACTCTTATTAGCCATGAATTCTTCAGTGTTCTCTCCCAAGGGCAGTCACAGCAAGTTGCTGCTTCATGGGGCAAAGTCTATTTTTTATTCCCCTGTCTCCTAATAATCAATTTTATACTTTCAATATATTAATTTAATTGTTTTGGGTTGCTAGAGTCATAGGGTTGGGAGTGTGGCTCAAGTGGTAGAGTGCCTGACTAGCAAGCAGGAAGCCCTGAGTTCAAACCCCAGTGCTGCCCAAAAGAAGCTAGAGGAACATATTTTTTGTGCTTTGCTTTTTCAAAAAAAAATAAAAAAAAAATTTTTTTTCCATTTGAGTATGGCAATTTTATTTTTGCTCCAGATTTTGTTACAGTTATTTAAAGGATGGCAAAGGTAGACATTATTCACAAGGGTCCATGACTGTAGGTTTAGGGGCCACTGTAACAGGATCTTGCTGTGGAAGGAGATTGGATTCAACTCCTTGCTCCAATTTTTTTAGTTTAAAAAGCAGAAAAAAAAAGGTCTTGAACTATGGGACAGGTTTAAAAAATATCAGGCTATTTGGAGTTATCAAAACATTAATTATATAAAGGGAAAAATATCAATGAAATTATGCTGCATATTTTGTAGCTAATTTTAAAGTGTCCGATTTAGAGAAGAATGTAGTTGTTTTGAAAAGGGAAACTGTTCTCTGGGAGTTTAGAAATAAAGTTTATCTGAAAGATACACACACAAAAAACGTTCTATAAAATCCCTAGGTAAAGCTTTGGACAAACTTGTCATCTGAGAATGATAAGCATTATTGTAGTATTGCCAAAGGAAGTAATTCTTTGTTTATAGAAAGTATGTCTTGATGTTGAAGATGTTCTTCTATTTTCTTTTTTTTTTGAGACAGGGTCTTGCTATATTGTTCAGACTGGCCTCAGACTTGCTGTGTAGCCCAGGCTGGCCTTGAACTCTTGATTCTCTTGCCTCAGCCTCCTAAGTGTTGAGATTGCAGGCATCCACTACTGTGACTGGCTCTTGAGCATATTGTTCTACTTCATGGCTTATAAGTGAGTGCTTAAATTACCATAAACTGTTGTATAGTACTAGTTATTGGCAAACTGAGCTATGGCTAAGTGTTCTTTCCTTTGAGTGGATTAGCTTTAAGTGTAAGAGAAAGAACTTGGCAATGGCATTGAACTAAGGTACAGTTTTAGGACTAATTAGGGGAATCAGTTTCAAGGAACCCAGTTGTGACTAATTTCTAATTTTAGCAATTCCCTGGATCTCTACCAATCAATAGGGAAAGAATTGAAAAATTATGTAGCTTTGTCTAATATTCAAACTTAGCTTAATTAAAATGAGTCAAGTTGAATAGCAACTAGGTCTTAATAAAACTTAACATATTTTGTGTCAAATATATTTGGTCATTTAGAATGATTTCATGCTAAGTGGGGCTGTGTTAAATTATATAATTCTCCACTTACAATTTGTTAAAATCTGCTTTCATACTTTTTTATTTTGATGTAATATCAAGCATAAAGAATAGTTCAGAGAACTCCTATATGCTCTGTATCACGATTTCACCTATTACTGATATTTGGGTCCATTTGTTCTGTTCCTTTCTCACTCTCTGTATGCATATGCATATATGTATATACTTAAGCACACATTTAAAGTAAAAAAAGAGATTATCTGGTGACTCACACCTGTAATCCTAGCTATTTGGGAAGCTGAGATCAGGAAGATTGTGATTCTAGGCCAGCCTGGGTAAGAAAGTTTGCAAGACCCCATCTCAACTGAAAAAAATGTTGGGTGTGGTAGTGTGTACTTGCATCATTCCAATAAAGAGGGTGCTTAAAATAGGAGGATTGTGGTCCAGACTGGCCTGGACAAAAAGTGAGACTCTATCTCTAAAATAACCACAGCAAAAAGGGCTAAAGGCATGGCTTGCCTAGCAAGTGAGAACCCTGAGTTCAAACCCAAGTACTGCAAAAAAAAAAAGGAAAAGAAAAAGACAAATGTTGCTTCCATGTGTGGTGGTGCATGCCTGTAGTTCTAACTATTCAGCCGGCTGAGGTGGGAGGATCACATGAGCCCCAGAGTTTGAGGCCAGCCTGGGTCTGTCTTGAAAAAAAAATAGTGCTGTCGTGAACATTCATGTGTAATTTTTATTTGGATTTCTGTTTTCATTTCTTGTGATTATACCAAGAAGTAGAATTATTGGGTCATACGATAATTCTATGTTTCCCTTTTTGAAGAATGGCCGGGTTGTTTTCGAAAGTGGAGATACCATTGTACATGGCCGACAGCATTGTAGGAGGGTTCTAGTTTCTCTACATCCTGCTGAGTACTTTGTAGCTTTACGTGTTTGTAGGAACTGGTTTCTCAGTGTACTTTTAATTCCAATTGTGTGGGTATTAGCCATCTTTGGAGAAGCATGAGTTTTCAGTTGGGTTGTCTTTTTAAATTAATGAGTTATAAGATTTCCTGTGTACCTTAGCAGATACATATATACATATGTGTGTGTGTGTGTATTAGGGCCTCCCACTAACTTGGGCTGGGCTGACCTTGAACCAGTATTCTCCTTCCTCCACCTCCCAGGTAGTTGGGGCCACAGGTGTGTGCCAGCATGTGTAGCTTGTGAGGTTCTTTTGTATTTTTTTATCTCATTTTTTGTCAGTAGTGGAGTTTGAACTCAGGGCCTCGTGCTTGCAAGTCAGGCACTCTTAACACTTGAGCCATACTGCTTTTCCTATTTTGCTTTAGTCATTTTTTTAGATAGGATATTGAGATTTTGCTCAGGGCCAGCCTCAGACCATAATCCTCTTACCTGCAGCCTTTGGCTTAGTTAGGATCTCAGATATGTATGCCCAGATTTTTAAGATGGGATCTTGCTAACTGTGTATCTGGGCTGGCCTCAAACTGAGATCCTCCTGATGTTGCCTCCTGAATAGCTGGGATTACAGGAATGAGCTACTGTGTCCAACCTGGCTTATTTTTGTGCTAGGATCTCACTAAGTATTTGCTTGGGATGGCTTTGAACCATGATTCTCCTGTCTCTGCCTCCTGAGTAGCTGGGATTATAGACTATCTGATTATTGTCATTTTTAGTGTTCAGTATAGACTTACAGTCAACACATCTTAGAATGAAATGGTCTTCTGAAGTACTTGGTCCCAGGCAAAAGTTCATGGAAATAAAAATTTATGACATGACATTTGTTCAAATTTGCTTTTAAATACTTTTCTCTCATTGAGAAGGACATGAGTCTCATCACTTCAGGAGTTTTCATATAACTTACAATCACAGCCTTCATTAGTGGTTTGATACACCATTAAATTTTATCTTCAGTGTATTCCCCACATGGAACCTAAATCTCCATTAAGCTTCAGCAATACAGTGCACCTTTATATTCACTAGGTGTTGAATAAATATTTGTTGGTCAGTCAAAGGTTATGACTGAAGGTGGTCACTGTGTATTAAACTATGTAGAAGGAAATTTTGAGGCGTTAGCTGCTACAGATATTGGAAATTTCCTATAGAGAGATAGTATATAAACTATGACTGCACAGTGTCATTAGGAAAACAAGTTGAATGCAACTTGGCAGTGGAGCAGATTGTAGAGAGAGGTATTGACGAAAGATTGCAGGAATTAAACATTTATGTATTTTTCACTATCTAAGGACGTTAGTGCTTTTATTTTTATCTGATCTATCTGTTATTTTTATCTATATCTCTCTGTCTGTCTGTTGTCTTTATTTTGCAGTACTGAGGTTTGAACTCAGGTCCTACACCTTGAGCCACTCCACCAGCCCTTTTTGTGATGGTTTT